TCCTTCTTACTACAGGATTTTAATAGTATTACAAGATACGAACGAAGTAGCTCGACAACATAGTGGAGAAACTAGATGTAAGGGCACTCTCAAATCCCATAATGCCTATCCTGATCCCGTCGCTCTTTACCCACCCTGATGTAAAGAAAACTAGTTGGCTTGAGGATGATAATCAATAGTTTTCTGTTAAAGTAGCGGTAGGAGTAGCTGCTGATAATTTCAAGAATTATCCCTGACCCAACAAGGATAAAGCCAAAAGGCACTCTTTCGAGATGAAATGATAGTTGAAAAAAAGTTTTGTACCCAAGAAGTAAACCTTTTCAGAAGCAAGATAGTGAGAATTCACACATTTCAGTATGGTATGGGTTGTAGCCTTTGCTTTTCTAAGGACATTTTCACCAAGAAGTCTCTATTCTTAAGGAGTTGATTATAGAGCAACCCTGCTAGAACTCTAAGGCTTTGCTTTTCTGGAAAAATCTATCACTAAAGAGTAAGCACAACACTAGTGAAAATTCACACTCTAAATTTATTCTATGAAAAAAACCTCATTCACTTATAGGACTTGGGTTAGAGAGGGAGAAGTAGAATAAATCAAGTCGAAGTGCAGTTCCTATCTCTTAGCTCAGATTAGAGAACCAGAAGTTACGCCCCATTACGCCGCGCCTTAACTCCTAGCCCTAAGACGAAGTAGTCTTAGTAGCAGTAGGATTACCATATTCCCTTGCTTTATGTCTTTCTTTCTGACTTTCCTACTTTCAGTTACAGATTGAACCTATTTGCCCATTTCCTTCCTCCCTTTACTTTGCTCTTTCTATGTGACAACCTTTTATTAAGCCTATTCGAATTTGATAACAACTCATTCTTTTCCGAGTTGGCCTGCAACCTCTTGGTAAATAGGGCACTCCGCTTTCTTAGCACAGGAAATCGAGCACAACTTTCGCAACAATCCTTTTTCATTTATTGGGAGACTGAAAGAAGGATTTGATTACTGAAACATGGTTATGTAAATCCTATCATGACATCGTTTATCGCGATTCATGTGTGGCTGCTTGCTCTTTCCTTTCCTTGTCCAACTGCTATAAGTGGCATTGCTTAGCTTAGCATAACAACTAGCATCAAACTACCAATCAATAAAGAAAGCACCTTCATGGACTGAGGGAAGCCCCTCTTCTTTTCTTGGATTTGCGCTTTCAAGAGTGCTATAAAGACTATTCATTCCCATAAGTCACGATCTTAATGGCTTTGAAGCTGCTAGGGATGAATCTAGGAAAAATATTCTTGGTCATCTCTCTCGTCTTTCACTGCTAGGTCAGCTAGCCTAGTTCGTAGTTGCAGGTGGGAACATTAAATACTGCCTTCGATCTGTTGACCCGGGCAACCTCGTCCCCCGTCGCTTTTTAGAGAGCTATAACTTCAACGGTGAGATTGCCAGCCATGGGAGATCTATTTGATTGGGAAGTTCTTAGCGAATATCAAAGGTGCAATCCGTAAATCGCATGTTAAGTATGGAATTTTACCGATGCTTCGATCACTTCCTAGAGATACCGCCTAGCTTGAAAGAGAAAGAGATCACATGCATGTGGTGAAGCATACCGAGAGAAAGAGCAGTTAAGTAAACCATATCGAGCACAAGTCTCACTCTACAAGTTCAGTTCGATGAGCTCCTAGCGGACCTGTGCCTACTATCTACTTAGTGTGTGTGCTAGGGCATGCTGAGCAGTTCTCACTGTGTCTGGTGACCAATAAAGCTTGTGGACTACTACTGGGGTGAACTCTTCTACATACTAGTGGGACTATTCACTGACTAATAGATTCGGGGAACGAAGAAGGCCTTATATCTACCTACATCTACAGTCGTAGAAGATAGCGACTTGATTGTACTATAGGTAAAGCCATCCCATATGCCCTTATTCAGTCATATGATTCACAGTTCAACCTGCTCAACCCCAATAAATGCTTTCTTCTTCAGGCTTTAAAGCCTTTTCGTTAGCAATCCCTTCACACCTCCCTCCTCACTCCTCATCAAGCAATCGATGGTAGTAGTGCTGTCAAGTCAAGAGTTCAGACTGTCGAATGAATTGAGGCCTGGTGGGAGGACTTGTGTTACAATGCAGCTGGAACCTTTGAGGTCTCGTTGCAGAGTAGGAAGACACTCTTGCATGCACTGTACATGGTTGGCGCGGTTGTGATAACTTAATGGTACTTTTGAGTAGAATTTTGAGGTGTGGAAAAGTGGAGTAGTGACTTTGTGGTCCCCGATTGGTACAAGAGTCAGATGGTTAATCTTGTCAGTAAGGGAAAAGTTCGGATTGAGCTTATGGTAACAGGGGGGCAAGAGTGTTACTGTAAAACTTGGAACTTAAATCTTGGCTGGTCTGTCTATTCAAACCAGTACTCGAGAGAAGGGACTCAAAGCGCTGTTCTCCTAGGGCTGGCTCAACTATAATTTTATGGAAGGAAGTACTCGATCACTTATAGCTGGATTGGATCCATCAATGGAAGCTCGACTGTATCGTAGGTTGGTATGTGCCGCTTTATCCTTCCTTCTAAAGGAACAGTGAACGAAGGGCTCATCTATAGAAAGAAAGCTATAGCTATGGGAATAAGTCATGTCCTAAGCCTAAGGTTTTGGGCACCGTAGTCTTATCTATATCGATGGCATTCAAAAGGGGACTTCCTTCTTTGCCACATCTTGATTTTCTTAATAATTTCCCTATTCAGGGTTTCCCGCTCCTCAGTGAACCAGATCAACCACAACGGCAGGGTCTACTTCTACTGGTCTTGGATTCTCCCTGCATACATAATCATCAACGACTAAAAAGAAGGCTTATACTTTTATCTCCTCTGAATCTGCAATGCTGTAATCTGCATCTCCCTTAGTATTTTCACTTCCACCTTACCTAGAACCTAGGATAGTTACATGTTCAGGATCAAGCCCAACCTCAACTATGGTCTCCCCGCAACATTTCTCAATGATCCACAACCTTAGCATCAAAGAGGTTCACACTCCCTTCTAACAAAGAAAGTTCAGCTTGATCAGAAACAGACCCAACAAGATCACCTTGGGACTGACCAGACCGAAACGGGTCAGAAGTGGAAACTCTTTACTCGCTGGAAAGAGCGAGTAGTAACAACAGGAGCTTGGAAACAATCCTTGATGGAAACATCTGGGGATAAAGCAGTAGTGTAATACCACCTTACGTGCTTGAGCCAGGCTTCAGTCCAAGATATGAGAAGTGTCATATCCTCTAAGTACTAAAAAGTCTCAGACTTATAAGTACTCGTTGGAGTCACCACAAGATCCTTAGGTCTGAAAGCTTGTTGAAGCTTCTAGATCAATCGACCTTTTGAATAAGGGTCGACGGGACAACACTGGCCAAGCCACAACTCGAAAGGTAGCTTAGCCTTTAACCAAATCTCCTTCAGCCGTAAGACTATAGTCGACTTAGTGTGGTTAAGTTTACCAAGAAGCCTATAACCAATACCATAAAATCGACATAGAGTGGAAAACCTTTGTATCTTATAGAGATGACAAAGGGAATACAGTCCATGCATGTATTGTATGGGAATTATCCAGGTTTCGAAGAGAGGGGATAAATCCACTATTAAATTCTTACACCTAAACTTCTTAGCAAACTCAGCGCCACCCACATCTGATACTAAAGACTTAGGAAGTTATATAGTCACACCTAAATACTTAAGTGTAGATAGGTAGGCTTCTGCCACCTTTGAGTCCGTGATACAAATATCGTCACCAAGGATAGCATACTTATCAAAGCGCTTCCCCAAATATATCTTCTCCGCACACCACCAAGTGGTGGGACAGTGTAAAGAGCGGCCAAAAAGCGAGATATCCAAGAGGTTTCCCTGATCCTTGGGATGATATTCAAGTAATTTCTCTTGAATGATAGGTCTACTCTTGGATACAAAGGTTCTATGTTCAAGCAATTGAGCCAACTTTCATTAGATCCTTCCGAAGTAGGCGAAGGTTGAGTTGCTGACCTGAATGCTTTGGCTCTTTTTGGTAAGTCTTCTCAGAGTAAGAACCTTTCTTTTTGAGCCAGCGTGGAGACCTATGGTCTCCATTCTGCCTTATCTTTGCTCTCTGTTAGTGTGAATTTGATAGCATAATATGGTAAGCAGCGGGCTTTCTATCCTCAGAGGTTCCGGTCACACTAGTCTAGAACATCTTCCGACTATTGGCTGCTTGCTCTCTGAACTGCTGGAGCTACTTCCTTTTAGTTGTATTGAAGAGAGTCTCTTATAAGCAAGTTCCTGTTAAAGGGAATCATTATTCGTAAGTTCCCGTGTGTAAAAGTTTCCTATTCAAATAAAAAGGGTGAAAACCTATTGCTCTATCTTACACCCTCCATCCCAGATCTCTAGGAACAGGGATGAAAACAACACCATTAATTGAACGAGTCGGGATGAGAATTTTACATGGTGTCGTTCTAACTCGTTATGCACACAATTGACGTAGCAGACCTCTTGCATGGTTGTTTCAATCAATGATGTATTCAATCAAGACAATAAAGATACGATGTAATAAGATCAGGTTACATAAAGGGTCTGTGAGGGAACATCAAGAAAGAGGATCATACAAAGTGCGGTATTGGATAAAAAATAGCGTATTAAAGGATTATGGTCTTTCTAGTACAATACGATCAATCAAGTCATTCAGTAAAGTCTCTTTGTGTTGTGTTTATGGAATTCTCTTAGAGCGGGTAGTTTATATTGCTCCCGATAAATTATTCCCTTTTCATTTGTGCATCTTTCTCCCTTGCATTTCTAGATCAACCAACCGACTATTTCCTTTTCGATAAGTCTTTTCTCATTGCTTAAAGTAAAGCATAATTTTAACTTAACTCGCCATGAACTTGTACTTACAGTTAGACTTATACTTATACAACGACAACTTATACTTATACTTATACTTAGAGTTGGGGGTGGTTCCTATACCCATCCCTCTTAAACAATTTGAGATAATCCCTTTTCTTCCTATGAAGATAGGTGACTTGTATTTCTCATTCACAAATCCCTCTTTGTTTATGCTGCTCACTCTCAGTTTGGTCTTACTGCTGGTTCATTTGGTTACTAAAAAGGGACGAGGAAAGTCAGTACCCAATGCTTGGCAATCCTTGGTAGAGCTTATTTATGATTTCGTGCCGAACCTGGTAAACAAACAAATAGGTGGTCTTTCGGGAAATGTGAAACAATAGTTTTTCCCTTGCATCTTTATCACTTTTACTTTTTTTTTATTTTGTAATCTTCAGGGTATGATACCTTATAACTTCACAGTTACAAGTAATTTTCTCATTACTTTGGGTCTCTCATTTTCTATTTTTATTGGCATTACTATAGTGGGATTTCAAAGAAATGGGCTTCATTTTTTAAGCTTCTTATTACCCGCAGGAGTCCCACTGCCGTTAGCGCCTTTTTTAGTACTCCTTGAGCTAATCTCTTATTATTTTCGCGCATTAAGCTTAGGAATACGTTTATTTGCTAATATGATGGCCGATCATAGTTTAGTAAAGATTTTAAGTGGGTTCGCTTAGACTATGCTATGTATGAATGATATTTTATATTTCACATGATATCTTGGTCCTTTATTTATAGTTCTTGCATTAACCGGTCACGAATTAGGTGTAGCTATATCACAAGCTCATGTTTCTACGATCTCAATCTGTATTTACTTGAATGATGCTACAAATCTCCATCAAACTTGCTTGTTATTTATTTATAATTGAACAAAAGCAGGGATAGAAGTTTCTCGAGCTAGGGTAAGTTCATCCAATCGCTCCGGGTTCTTTCACTCACAGAAGACCAAGCCTTGCTACTTGAATAACAGGTAATCAGACTTTAGCCTTTTTGTAGTCCCATAATTTTCATTCAGGGGATGACCTTGAGGAAGAAGCCGAAGGCATACCCAGAGAAAGGAAGCATGCTATAATTAGGGTATCACCTATCGATGGTAATCCAGCCAACCCCTCTCCTTTTATCATGTCGAGCTACTTTATACCTTGTTCTATCAACAACATGCTACTTCGTTCCTCTCCTTATCAGTCGAGTATCTCCGCTCATGACTCTAACAAGTATGCTTCTAAATCCAAGCTCTAAAGAACCTGCAATTAAACATACCTGTCCCTTATTCGATCAAACAAGCTTAAATCCCTCTCCTTATAGAAATGCAAATACGTTCCTTTAGCGGTTAAGTAGGATTTATTCATAATATAAGGGATAGGTTTTAGTACTGGTTCAAGGTGGGAAGAGAGAGGTTGTCCCAAAAGGACAGGTACAAGATGAAGTGGCAGAAAGATAGAAGTATTGCACCCTTCAATTCCTTTTCATGTTAATTGGGTAGAAGAAGTAAGATAGAAGGACTAGTCCCTTAGGGAATGATCTTATCTGGCTTTAGACTCCTTTCAACGACACAAGGGACATCAGGACGCTAACTTTATTGAAAGCAAAAATAAAGATTCTATTTTCCCTCTTTTCTACAAGGGAATGACCGTCACAAGTTAAATGAAAGGAATTCCGCTTTAACTTTTCAATCTGGTAACTACGTTCATAAGAAGTTTAAGTGACTATAGCAGGAATTAATTAAAAAAATTTAAATAGGCTCCTCCCTGAATATGCCTTAGGAAAGTCAAAGGAGGGGTTCAAAGTGAAGAATTGGGGCACTACTATATTCTCCCTCTTCTTACTGAGGAAGAACAGATTTAAGGAAGCCGACTCTCATTCTTTATCTACGAGAATATGAAAAGTAGACCTGTCGCGCTTTGAAGAAAGGTAGTTCCCCGGGGTCTGTCTATCTTACTATATATACGATGCACCTAGGTTTCTAGACATTCAGACTAAAGTCTGATAAGGCAAGAAGCATTTTCTCTAAAAGTGATAACCTTTTTGTTGTCCCACCAGATTTATAGTGGAAATATTTGAGGCGACATGGGGTTCATTGAGGATTTTGAGTAAAGCATTCCTGTGAGCTTCTGATGCTATCAGGAGACCTAAGATAGACTGTCATCTTATTGAGTTGTTAAACCACACTAAATTCACTGTTCTTGATGATCCTCAATAATTCCGCTCTGTATTTCTTCCTCTGCTGCTTAACAGGTTAAATATATCCCATTTTATCCTTTCTTTTCTTACTTCTTAGTTCCAACTCTTTTTGGAGTATAACATCTTCCAGAACGAGTCATTCCTCCAATTTCTGCCACCTACCTCGGGCTCTTTTCCCCTTGTTTGGTAGTAGCCTCAATGCCGTAATTCCAAGGAACAACATGATTTCCCGTGTTAGGTTCCAGGAGGCTGATAGTGATGGGTCCCTTCGAGGGTGGATAGGTGATAACCATCGGTTTTGGGATGGGTCTAAGTGTCAGGATTTTCGGAACCTTTGGTGCGAAAAATGATGCGCTTGGAATGGTGATAACAAGGGGCTGCGGTTGTGATGGAACTGGTACTAGGTAGGTGGATCGAGAGGCTTGGTAGGACGTAGGCCTATTTTGTGCATTCTGAACAATCTGGGATATAATGTTGTGCAGATAAGGTCTATTCCTGTGTTGAGGCCGGGTTAGAGGTTATATCATGTTAATCTCTATGCAATCCGCGTCTTTTACCTTAGGTCAAACGAGACTATCTTTGAGTGAAATGGGTGGTTATATCTGGGACGTCTTTCTCTTCTTGCATAGACTACTACGCTCTAATTCATCCTGCAATGAAGGGAATGGATTCTTTAAAGAATAATACGCATTCCTCCCTCGCATCATAGTAGAATAGATGCCCCTCACTAGCAGCAGTTTCTCTCACATATCCCTACCCGGGCCTGGAATCAGGAGCCAATCCGTATCAACAATCAACAACAGACCTAAGATCTTGGAGAAGAGGATCTCCGGCAATAACTCTCCTTTGACACATAGGCGCTATCAGCCCTTCTCTTATGCCGGTCTGGGGGAGGAGGAATTTTTTCTGCCTGGAGCGAGCCAGGTATGGGATCTTTCCCATATCCTTATTTCTTTATTCTTTCTGTGAACCTGAGTGGATTCTTTTCTCTATTGTACCTAAATCTCCAACGTTTCAAAAAGTAATCTTTTTGAGTGCACTTGACCGCCTTAGTTTACTCGCGGTACACTGACTATATTCCGCAGAGGTTGGCAAGAGCTTATTTCACAACAAGACTGAATGGAATTAGCCTCAAAGAATTGAACTACCTTAATCTAAATCTTTGGAACTCACAGAAGACCAAGGTACATCTACTCTAAATTCACATAAGCTTGGGATCTTTCTTTCCTCAAAGCTAAAGCCCTTTAAGCCTGGTCTTTCTTCTTTAAAGCCTGAAGCTGGTGTATTACTTTATTATATCGTAAGTAAGGAAGTTGAGATTGTCAGTTTCATTTCGTGAACCAGCTACCCTTTCTCTTCTTCTCCCGTAACTTCTTCTTAGTCTACCTACTCTAGAACCGGGGGGAGACTCCGTGGCTTTATAGTCTTTGCATCCACTTGGCCACTCGAGTCTTGGCTTAGCCACACTCTAATAAGTTCCCATCTCCTTTTTAATTAAAAAGCTACTGGACTTGGCTTCTTTCCTGCACATAATGTCCTATATTGAATCACATCTGTAGCGCTTACTGATTCAATCACGGAAGAAAAGATCACAGCTGATACGCATTCAATTGCTAACATCACACCGTTTACTGATTAACGTCTGACTACAGCTCGTATGAGTTCTTACAGTTGGTTGGGAAGAGTCTCAACTTAAAGGTACTACATACTTGATTAGAGAAGGAATTTCTTACTTAATGCCATGCTTTACAGACATTCTGACCAAAGCCCCAGATTAGTAACATAGGATTTTGGCTTTTCTGTCCGAATCCCATTCTATGAGGGCCGCCTCACTAGCCTTCCTATAAGGCCTTTAGAGAGGATTCAAACTCTTCGCCCGAGACTCCCTGGAATTTCTTCAAGAATGAAGAGAGAGTAGAGCTATTGAAGCAGAAAGGCTATTAGGCTCGGTACGCTATAAACATCTAGTTGCCATATCTTCAAACCTATTACCGTAGGTCGACTGTGAGTAACCCTCACTCTTTTTCGTGAAGAGTAAGTATCAAATCCTTCTGCTTTGGAAGATGATTAAGTACTTCTATTCACTTTGATAGATGGCGTTGGAAGGAGTGGTGTCCAGGATTAATCCCAGTACCACCACACCTCTCCTTTCTCGTGGTTGGTTTAGGCCACGAGCAAAGACCAAGAAGTCTTGATCAGTAAAGCCTCCAGAGACTTGGGTCCCACCTAAACTAAAACTTGAAGTCAGAGCTTTTGTTGGTTTGATCTCACCTTTATGATACTTTATATTAAGATCAAACAAAGGCCACAATATCCAAAACCTTATCAACTCTTGATTTTAATCCTTTTCTTTCCAAGATGTTAGGACAATTGGGCCTTCAAACCAGGATTCAATGGAGGTATCCGGAGAAGAGGACTGGACTGTGTACCAGGATAAATACTTAATCCAGGAACAGACGAGCTAGCTGGGCGAAGGGATTCCCGAGTCAAACGACTACCGTACATAGCATAGAGCTGGAAGCTGCAATAGAGAACAGATAAGACTTGCCTGCCCCACTTTCCCTCTTTGAAAGAGCATAGCCCTGTAACCCATAAAAAGAAAGAGGAAGAGAGTGTAATGCCATAAAATTTTAGATATCCTTTATAATTCTGATTACTCTAAAGAAGCATGAGCGCTGGGCTTTTCATGATAAAAAACTATCCTAAACTCTCTTCTTTCGGGGATTCGGGTTAGTTGTTGACTTACAAAGAAAGGAAGATCGATTAAGATCTTCATCTTTATAAGGCATTCTAACTCTAATGATTAAAGATTATAATCCTTTTATTAGGGTGCTCTTCACATTCATTCATCAGCCTGCTTTAAAATCCCTTTGCGTGCACCTTTCTACTAGTCTCACTTGAAATGAAGTTCTTCCCATTCCCCTGGGGTAAATTCCTTGGAAAAGAAGCTTGAGTAGCCAACCTTCTTGCCCAGGTCTTGGGCTAGGCTAGGATATTGGAATCCTCAATTCAAGTCAAGAAGCAGCTTTTCTACACTCAAAGGGAACCCGGCATCCCATTAATTGAGACTTCCTATGCATAGTTGTAGCCTTTCGTCATACCCAAAGGCTACTTAGTGCCTCCACCAACTGGGAAGCTAGAGTATGAGTCAAAAAGCCCACATACACATCCCTATATAGAGAATATCAGTCTTTAATAGGGCTACAAGGGAGAGTGTGGTCAAGGGGCTGTGGGCGAGCTTGGCCTTCATCCGAAACAGATTGTGCCCATGATTGGGAAAGCTGCTGAGTTCGCTAGATCAAAAAATTACATTAGAAAAGTCAAAAGTCTCATGAGTTGCTGCAGGCTTATTACGAAATCCATTGTTAACATGAATCAACCATTTTCTTTTCGAGTTCCCCCACCCAGGTGGGAAATTACTTACTTAGACTATAGCGACCCTAATAAGATATACCCACTTATCCTTAAACGAAAAAGAGGAGCACACCAACTCTATGAAGAATTCCCAGCCTTGTTACAACAATACGCTTAAAGTACCCGATTAATGTTGAATTGGGGCAAAGACTAAACCAAACGAGCTCTTTGCGCCCTACGATTACAATTGTTATGCTTGTTGGGTGGTCCTACTCGTTGAGGAGTATGGGTCTATTTCGCTTGTTTCAAAGAGCACTAACTAGACAAACTAAAC